GCCCTATAATTACTGTTATTTACGTTTTATTATTATAATTTTTAGTATTTATTATAAATTTACATATTTGTTTTATTCAACATATAAATATGTTCAAAATGCGGTCCGGTTTCTTGTTAATGTAGTCCTGCTTTCTGATTGGTTGCCTCGTTTTGACAGCTCCAAATATATAAATGGCGGACAATTCTCGCTACTTCTTACGAAAATGCTCCTGTAATCGCTTCGAAGTATTAGGAGAGCAGAAACGTCAGAATATATATATGAAAGTGCATAGTATTCGTGCACAATGTATGGTGTGACTATGACGAATTCAAATAACCTTAATGTAAGTACAAATTGATTATCATTATGATTATTATATTTCAAATGAAGTGCCATGTGGCTATATATATTATATTTTTTATATCAATTTCTATGTATGATTATTATTAAAACTTATTTCTTTGTTAATTATTGAAATTAACTTTAATTAAATTGTTACATTGTTACATGTAGTTATCTAGTAAAATTATCACTATCGAGTGATGTCTTGTAATAAATCTATAATCTTTTCACAGGTGCTTATAACTTGTAAGGAAACAAGAAAAAAATTAAAATATTATTTTTGAATTATGTAGAGGCATACCATTTGTTTGTATTTAACTGTCTTCTCAAATATACATTAAACAGAAATACACAGATGATGAATAGAAGATCGAGTAAGTTTTGCAGCATGTTATATACTATTATATATAATAGTTTTAGAAAATTTTATTTTATTCATATGATAACTTAAATATCGAACTACAATTCCAATGAATTTGCCAATTCATGTGATAATAGTATAGAATAAAATGATAAATCAAAGTAGTAAAGCCAGTATATTAAACTTCAGTTGTAGTTACATAAAACGCCAAATATTTTTTAATGAATTGAGCCAAAAAAATGAAATGCTTATATTTTATTTAAGACACACAATTCTGTACAAAAGTACATTTTGCTCACAATAATCTAAGAAAATACCATATAAACCTATTAGAATTTCATGTGAATGTAATTGAATCAAATGAAATGAGTGAATTCACTGTAAGTCATTCTATAGATAAATTCTTTATTGAATCAGATTTATACTTACAATTTTTACAAAAGCATTACTGAGTTTTAATTAATTGTCAATGAATTGATAATTATTGATGTGCTTCGAATAATATACATACTAGTTTCTACTATTACAATGCTTTCAGAATGAATTGAGTTTAAATAACTTTATATAGTGCATATAATATGTACGTTTCACAAATAAGTATTTAATTAATAACAATAATTTCACTGAATTTCTATTTTATAGTGTTATGGATTTTTTCAATGTTACAAGTATACATACTTTGGAGAATAATAATTGTTCGGGATGGTAACAGGATTGTTCCTGTACTTCAGAGATAACGAGACAAGTCTGATACATATATTAATAGAAGTATGCATTTATGCTGATTTCCAAATGATGATGTCTTTAAAAATATAAATATAGGTAACTATAATTTTGTGCATGTACTACAAAATGAAGATGAAGAATTATAAGATAAGAAAACTTCAAGGTTTTAAATACATTTATACAATAAACAAAAGGCAAATGTAAAATATTTAATATTTTACTCAATTAACATTATAAAAATAAATTTATTCTTTAAATATTTAATATTTAAAACAGTATAATTACAAGCGTTTAAGTAATTTGATACTGAATGATCTGAATTAATATAATTTTTTATAATAATAAAGTAATTTATATGAACTTTACTGCCAAAAATGATGATACTTTTTTATATGATATATTTTATTATGTAATTGATTTTGCTAGTAATATAACATATCATTATTCATTACAACCCAAATATTTCCATTATAGGAACTTCCAAGAATTCAGAACGATGTGTCTATCCAGATTTTTTGTGTCTGCAATGGATCATGCTGTGCATTTTCTGTGTTTAGAACTTAAGATGGATCGCCTCCAATGCATACTATAGGAGTACCTTTAACTGGAACTAACCTATGAAGCACAATTAACGAAGATGAAATATCTGAGCATGAACATTATAATGATATAGAAAACAAATTGCCTTTGTACCTTTGAGAAAAAATGAAATGTCCGTGTCAATAGTTAAAACTTAATTTTAGCTATGTATGATTTTCTTTATATTGACTTTTAATCAAAAGTATTTCTTGTAGATTACTTTATATAATTTTTTATCAACTGTTTGAAACTTACAACAGAAGTTTTTATACAACTTATGATGATCAATATAATATGTAGCAATAAATATTATATAATATGTAGCAATAAACTTAAGATTTTGTAATGATGATTTATATTTGAAATATCTAATTTTTATCAATTATAGAACGCACATTCAACTTCTGTTAGCAAGTTTTTGAAGCTGCTATTTCTAGATTAACAAACTAATGATGCTGGCTTCTTTTTGAATTATTAAATTCTACACTTAATACAAAGCATAATGACTTCGCTAAAATGCCGCAAATGGAGCAAATAATTAATTATTCTTGGAGGTGAAATAGCTTTATTGTCATATGATCGCAATTAAACAAGTTTAAGTTTTAAATACATTTTAAATATATTATGATAAATATGTTTTAAGGCAAATTAAACTTGTTTGTGCCAGCAATAATATTTCTAGTACTAATATCATTATAGGAGATTCCAAATTTTTTACCCTGAACATCATCCTCAATATCTTTTAAGTTTAATCCTTGCAGTGGACCATTTCCATATCAGACTTTATGAGTACCTTTAACTGGAACTTTTACAGTTTTATCATTACAGTTTCACACCTATTGATGAAATAGATTTGAAACAATCTGTCGACATCTTGAATAAGTAATAAGGAAGATGAAACATCTGAGAATGAATATTATAATGATGTAAAAAGCAAGTTGCCTTTGTATCTTTGAGAAGAAGTGAAACGACAGTGTAAATGTTTAAAAACTAGCTTTAGTTACATATGATATTCTTTGTATTGTCTTTTTATTAAATCAAGTCAAGTACTTCATGTAAATGGTCTGTATAGAATGATGTGACTTTAATTTTTAGAGTCGATGTATTTGAACTCACAGTTCTGAAACAAATTTGAACATTCAGAAACCTTTCGAAAAACATTGGTTGGGAATGAATTATTATATTATCTAGGGGGAATGATACTGATTAATTTTTGGTAAAAATCCGCAGAAACGTGTTCTTGTAATTAATTGTTAAAAAATTGTTTTCAACAATTTTCATGCATTGATAATTATCATGGTCTTACAGATCATACAGAAATATTATGGCTCTACGTCAAGCCGTTTCATTTTAAAATTTCATCAAACTTTTAAAAAATTAGTTGATCCCTGTTGGCCCTACTGTTAGTTCTTTTATCTATGTTGGTGATACTGTTTGACAATTCTCTTACTTCTGTCAAATTGAAAAATCTTGCAGCGTGTTTTGTGACTAGGTTATACATTGCGTAAAGCCATATATTATTTTTTATTGAATAAAATTTTATCATTAACAATGTGTAGTTCGTATACGTGTATAACATGTCGAGTGGCGTTCAAAGATGTAGAAATACAGAGACTACATTACAAAACAGATTGGCATCGCTATAATCTTAAAAGAAAAGTTGTTGATTTACCTCCAGTAACATCAGAAGATTTTGAAAAGCGAGTACTTTTGCAAAGAGAAAAGGATTCAGTTGAAAATGGCGATAAGAATATGTACTGCAAGGCCTGTCGCAAGAATTTTAATTCTGCGAAATCTTATGAAAATCATTTAGGCAGTAAAAGACATAAGGATAATGAAATTACAAATGTGGATGCAGATGATAAGAAAACAGAAGATTTAGTAAGTATTTACTAGAAAATCGATATTCAATATATGCTAATTTAGGTAAAGAAATATTTCCTAATTGAACTTCCGTCTGCCACTTATTCTTAACAACTGTTGCTCATTGTTGGCTTTCATACAATATTGTAACATGATGAGTTATTTTTGAGGCTAAAGGATAATATTTATTCTAATAATAATGGCTATTATAATTAAGAAAATTAAGTGGAATGTTTACCCAGTGAACCACAAGTGTTAAAACCATGCAGCTCATTTTGAAACTTTTGTTACGAAACTAAGTTAAAAGTACAATCTTATAGTTGTAACCTTTAAACTGTAGTTATAAATTTTTTCAATATAATCTATATATATATATATATATATATATATATATATATATATATATATACTTGATGACCCGACAGACATTGTTCTGTATTCACATCTAAAAATTTTTTTAATATCTTATCCTATACTTTTTAATATTCTATTTAATGTTCTTCCATTTATGGTCTTAGCATAAACTATACACATATTGGAAACTGCAGTTTTTTGATCAGTATAAGAAATTCAGAAAGAATAAATATAGTATTGATGATTTATCAATCAATTAGTTATCAAATTGCTCATAAAACAATACTTACAGTGATACCTCATATATGATTTATTATTTATAAATGTTTTTTGACTAGGTAATTCCTGCCCCATCTGTTACCATGAAACAAAAGCAAGTTCCAACTAAATCTGCAGAAATGGATATAGACACAGATTCTGAAATTGAAGAAGTGGATTCAGATGAATGGGACGATTGTACTGATATTAATACTAATGACTGTCTGTTTTGCGCCCATCATAGTCAAAGCATGAATAAAAACTTAGTACATATGTCTTTAAAACATTCCTTCTTTATTCCTGATGTGGAATATTGTGTTGATTTAAAAGGTCTATTGACTTATTTAGGAGAAAAGATTATGGATGGATTTATGTGCATTTGGTGTAATGATAAAGGTAAATCATTGATGTTCACTTCTATTAATTTCATCAATTCTGACATACTTACAAGGAATGACATACTTATTTCCTCTTTTTGGAATATAAAATAAATCAAAGTCTTAGTAAACAGTTGTTTGTAATTAATGAACATGGTTAATGCCACCTTTCTATCACAAATTTTAAAGATGTTAATTTTACAATGCAAGATTTAGAGACCGGCAAGGTCATGTTATGAAGAACTTTCCATCCTCATATAGACAAAAGCCATGCGGTTGGTGTTCAAGTTGGTGCATAAGACAAATTCAGTGTAAATGTTTACCTATAAATCAGTTGAAGACTGTTTGTCTATGATTTTAAAATTGTTGTATCAAATATTTCGAATATATTAACTTTCTCCAAAGAATTCTCAAGTTGACTAATAATATTTTAGATCTTGTGAAAAGTAATGTTTTCTTCTGTAATTTTTAGGTCGGACATTCCATTCAGCAGATGCAGCAAAAAGTCACATGTTAGATAAAGGGCACTGTAAAATGTTACATGAAGGTAAATGTTTTTTTCATTAACTTTATTTGTCAAAAATATATTCATATATTTACACTAACAATTTTTACAGGATTAGCTCTTGCTGAATATGCTGATTATTATGATTACTCCTCATCATATCCTGATGCAGAAGGAGATAGTGGAGAAGCAATGGATGAAGATGACCAGAATGAAGAAGATGTGTCTCCTGATGTTTTGGATGGATCTGATTACCAATTAGTTTTACCATCTGGTATAACTGTCGGACATAGATCATTATTGAGATATTATAAGCAAAGTATTGATCCTAATAGACAAAAGGCAGCATTGATGCCAACTCAGAAGAAGTTACATAAGGTAATTTTTATAATGTTCATAAAATACATATTTTATGATAGGTGTATATAAGTTTACACATTTTTTTGAACATGTGCATTATATAGCATTGCATATTTATACTATGTTTATATTACTATATCTTTTTAAAATGTAATATACAATACATGTATTAGGAATTCTTTGGGATAATTGTATAATCATTGTTGCTCAATTCTAAGGAGATAAAGTGCATATTATATATTTTTGCAATAGACTATAGGTAAATTAGCCATCCCTTTGATCCGGAAAGTAATTACCTGTTGATGATATGCTTCTTCAAATAAAATATGAAGTATTTCGAAATATTTATTACCATACCATAATAATACACAGATAAAATCCGTTTTTGAAGGTATGATTTAATGTTATTTACCTATGTTTTTTACATTTTATTTTTACTTCCAAGGAACTTAAACTTATCTGATGCATTTTATATATCAAGTTTTTTATGAATCAATAAATTAACATTAATGTTTTGACTATTCTCGTTTTAAACATTATTTTAAATAATACTTGCATATTACACAGTGTAACTAAAATAACTTATTGAAATGTAATAATTTTTAAAAAGCGTTAAAAAAGGTAAAAGCAGCATTTAAAAGTAATTTTGCACTTTTAACAAAGAGTGTGATTGTAATTCTATTCATTGTTATATGCTCACAAAATTACTATACTTACAGGATCATCTCCTACATGTTTTAAAATTTCTTATGTAATCCTTATTTTAATTTTTATTTTAGGTATTAGCTGAATACCGATCACTTGGATGGACTGCCACACAACAGGAACAAGCTGCAAGAAAAGCTCGTGACCTACATTATATGCGCAGGTTACAGTCTAAATGGAATACAAAACTAGGTATCAATGCAAATAAACTGCAAAAGCATTTTAGAGTGCAATGTAATTTTTAAATGATATTTATTTTCTAAACTATAACATAAATTACAACAAAATTATTGTATGGTGATATATTTCTTTTAACAATATTTTGTTACAATATTTATTCATAGTTGTTATTTTGTTTAAATTAAAACTTTTATTAAAAAATGTTAATGAAAGTTTGTTATTAATCCAGACCATTTCCTTTCTGGAATAAACTTAAGTAACATGCATATGATTTATCAAAATTCACAATTAAGTATCTAGTACATTTATTTAATAAATGTAAACATAGAAAATTTGTTATTCATCATTTAAAATATAAGAGCTGCTAATCTTTGGCAAAGCTTAAGCTAAATTTATTGACTATAAATCGGAAAAGTAACTATACCTACTTATTAAAACATAATGAAATGCATTATGTTGTCATTTCATGACCTCTGGTTTAAAATATATCTAATTCTCGTATACAAGTTATTTCTTTCATCTACATCTAAAATTTTATCTAACAGAGTATAAGTTGCTTATTATATTTAAGTAAATGCATAATTTTTGGTATCGTTCAAGCATTATGTTGATGTTACTAATTCTCAATTACATTGCTTTTGATCATCATTAATTTTATCTTGTTCTAATGAAACCATATAAACTGTTACTAAATTGCCAGTAGTGATAAGTTCATCTAAATCACATGCATAGTAAAGTGGTGTTATTGGTTCCTCTGGAACATTTTCTTTACTTTTCAAAGTTTCCTCTTTTTGTTTGTGTTTAATAGATGCTAGGATGCTATTAACTCTTCCTCTATTTCTTTGCAAACCATGTACATTCATGAAAGCAGTTTTGCATATTCTCACATTCTTTTTGTTCAATTTAATAGTATAAATGAAAGTATTTTGTTTATAAAATGTTCTTGGGTCTCCTCTACGCCTTCTACGCTTTATTGGAATATTCTTCACACAAGAAGTTAAGTACGAATTTTGCATGCTGTAATTTTCTATGTTGCAAAAATCATTAAATATTCTCAAGCGATCTTCCATTTTTATTCTAAGAGAGCATTTTAGCGAACATTTGCATAAGTTATGTGTATTTGAGAAGTGCAAATTGGATTTAGTAATATCATTTGATTTCTTCTGCTGGTTATTTTTAGTTGTAAATAAATCGGACTTTGAATCTTTCGCAATATTTGTTGAATTTTCTTGTTTTTGAACCTGAAATAACATTTAGAAGGTCGCGTTAAAAGATGTCTCACCTGTCCACTCGCCAAATTTAAAAATTAACCGCGCAAAAATCGGTAAGAATATTGTATTTACTCACCTCAAGTGACTTTGATTTTCGTTCAGTTTCGGGTGAACTATTACATTCTAGCAATGATTCTAATAGGAAATCGATATTTGATAAATCGTTGTAAAGATCTTTGGACATTATTAAAAGCGAATATAATTTGTGAAGTTATAAAATGTGAGCAAATACGTGGCAAAGCATGTAAAAGAATTTAAAACTTAATGCACATTAACACTTCCGCCATCTTTCATTTTTGGTGCAGCACTACACGGATTGGGCGTAGCGCGAAATATGAATTTTCAGTAATATTTGTCTTGAAACTGTCAAATGAGAATTCTGAATATTATTAAAATTATCAAAAATTTGAACAGTTTATTGATGCTGATTATTATGTTAGTAATGCTAGATATAATTATTGCTTTGTTCGTCCTAAATTTTAAGTCAAATGATTTATTGTTGGTTTATGTACCAAATGACAATTGATAATTATTTGATATTAATTGATTGTAGAACAATGGCCTTTGTCTATTAAAATAACATAAATCTACTCGTCGATAGATTGACATATTGATAAAACATTTTAAGCGTTGTAATTAGCAACAATTCTGTTTCCAATATCTAGAATGACATTAAGCAACAATTTGTAACAATTTAAAATCCTTTATTTGAAATTAATAATAATTAAATTAGACAGCCAAGCTCTGAAAGTCGTTTATGACCTTAATATGATATAAGTTTATCACGTATTTAATGAAATGGTATAAATTCAACTATTATAAAATGTTTTTATGTCATTGAGAATCCGGAATATTGCTTAAGTTTTAACCATGAAAATAACTACTAATCTAAAATATTATTTTAACAATCATATATGCTTAGATAATACATAATCTAAATGTATTACATATTTAGATTTAACTAAATTTTCTAGAAAAAAAATTTCATAGTTTATTGTTGCCCGAAGGCATATGTTCGAACGCCATCTAAAACGTCAAAATTTTGTGTTATATTTTCTTCATAAGATTCAAAAAATATCCTATAAAGGCGATGAAGATTTTCAAAAAGTGTAGAAAATTCATTCTAGAATCATGTGTAGTATTAGTTTTTTAGTTATTGTCAAAATTTTAATATTATTTCAAATCCAGGTATAAATTTATCGGGCGTCTGTAGATTTAGCTTTTGCTTCATCTGTTAGACATTTTAGGTACTAGGCCCAATGGCTGAACAGTGATCGTCATTTACAGGGTCAAGGTTCGAAAATTATTAATTAATTCAATAAAATTTGAATTGAAAAAAAAAATTGAAAAATTGCAAATTTTTACTTTAGACCCTAAATTGAAAATAGAAAGCTTGGACTTGCAGATTGCTGGTATAATGATTAGTTTTTATTTAAATTATATTTATTATGTACTAATTTCGCAATTAAAGTCTGGTTTTAATCGCAAAATTTGTTATGGATGTGATTTTATGTCTTTCTAAAAAATCATGATTGATTTTTGAACTTACGTTTGAAATATTTAACTTGTAAAAAACTAACATATAAAATATTTCATTTGAGGCTTTATTATTGCAGTTTTTTTTATTATTTATTTGTATAAAATATATTATAGTCTTTATAGTTGTAACTGATAGCACAATAGTGATCTAATATTAGAACATATTATACTGAAGACTTTGTTTTAGCTATCACTCTTGTCATGGTATAAGCAATAAGGTATTTAGTTTAGGTATTAATGTATAAGTAATATAATATCAATTGTGTTTTAACAGATTATATTTAGTGATATTTATACAATTGTTTGCAATAATAGTCCTAAACTTTATATATATATTGAAATTACATTTTAACATAAAACCTCGAATATTAATGCTATAATAATGTTCAAATTCTTGAATGTATGTCATCATTCACCATTTTAACAAAACTAAAAATTCAAGTAAAAGCCAAAAGTCAAAATGTTATATTAACTATAAATAGCCATTTGTAAACGCTAATATTGATATTATTATTTTTATTATTATTATTATTATTATTATATTATCTTATTATATTATTATCTAATTATTTCTAATAAGTTATATTCATTATTATCTGTCACTTATTGCTTTTCTTTTACGTTTTTGTTTTTTTAGTATTATTTATATCATTCAGAAATTTAATTTATTTTATTTATTAATTTTATGATTAATTATTATTTGCTTTTATTTCATATTAAATCAACAAACTACGGATATCATTTTAATAAAAATTCTATCCTTTATTTTGTACTCTTTTTATTTAAATTTATGTTATTGTTTATTATTGTTACTAGATGTTAAATTATTTAGCAGTTGTAATAAATATTGTAATTAAAAAAAACTATAAATGGAGTAATGAACCAAGTAAAGTTAGTATGAGTAAACATATAGTTATAAAACATATAATTATTGCTATAATTGACCAGAAGGCAGGTCCATGAGCTGACTTCAACTTCAGACAGGAAGTTTAGTTCGACAAGTTTCCCTTTGATTTTACAAATCACAGTAATGTTTCCAATTGAAAATAATATTAATATATACTTTTAAAACGAATATCACTGTTGCCTTATATCGAATGGTTAATAAATATATATAGTAAGTCGCATTTTTGATCCTGGGTAATCGTCTTAACGAGGTTTTACTGTGTATGTGTGTGTAAATTATATTTGGTACGTTCTATGTGTGCATGCTATTAATTATAAATATGCTTTTAGTCATAATTAATCATGTACTTTAAATGTTAACACTATATTTGAATCTAAGGACACAATAGTTTTCATTTTAATTGAACTTAGCATATGCTTATAATCATGCCTATAAATATTTAATTTATTCAACAAAACCTTGAATATTATTATGAAATTTTATTTTGTTTTGGTCATTTCTTGTTCATGGTTATTTTATTGTAAGCTATATATTATATATTTATATATAAATAATGACTGTAAATGCATACACATATTCTTGTTTTTATGACAAAATTAGAAGATAAAACTACAAATAAACATATACCTGTCTGTAATTTAAGTTTATATGTAATATAGCAGTTAATAAGTGATAAGATTAATTGTATTTTATCCAAATGCGGCCCTAAATAGTGGAGCTTTTGTCCACCGTTTGCTTTATCATTCGTCACAACCTACAGACGCTCGATGCGAGTGAAATTATTTGAAGTTCGTATCTGCCATAAGCGAGATCGTATTGCTGCAAAAATTTAAATTTTCCCAAATAAATTTACGATAAAAAATAATTAAAGAAATTTATCGCAAATTTATTACATTCATCTTTAACTTTAAGGCAAAAATTTTCTAAATAGATTTGAATTTCTTGTGAATAATAATGGTGCTAGCCGAGCGTGGTGATTTGAGAAACGGCCGTCGGTCGAGGGGTCCGAGCCCCAACGGACATGGAACCCCCGATTCCAGTTCAGAGGACGAAAATGGTAATTTATTTCAATACACTTCGATTGTGATTATACAGGTTGATTTCGATGGAATATTAAAATAGTGTTAATCGGTTAAAATGTCTTGAAGTGCCCTGAAGATTGTCAGGAGTAGCTTGACAATTTTTTGATTATTTTTTTTCATAAAATAATTTTTGTGATTTCTAACTCCTCCTAGAAATTATTTTAAGGCATTTTATAAGCGAACAATGTAGTATTTTTATGATTTTTTGTTGATATTAAGTTAATTCTGTGCAATAGCAAGTTTACCTAGCCTATGTTGACGTCATAACCCGACATATTCGAATTTGTTATTTCGAAATTTTTGTCAAATTAATCATTTTATATTAAACGCTGAAAACTCATATTACCAATATATACTTTATAAAACATGTATTTCTCCAATTTTTCACGAATTTATTCATTTGTCATGAACTGAATACAGGCTAAATTCATTGTCACTAAGTGCATTTTTACACTAGTCATAAACATGAGCCCTTCAGACTTTTATTGAAACATGAAATTATTTTCACTTATATCTGACTTTTTGATCATATATCTTTGTTGGGATGGAATTCTTTTGATTACAAAAACAAAATTTGAAAAACTTGTTTTCAAATGTTTTCAGCATCAAAAAGGAACATTTCATCGAAGTCTGCTGCTAAAGGTGGTGGAACATATGAAGGTATGTTAATCAGTTGTGATTTGAAAAATATTTATTTTTATGTTTGATAATTATTAAATTCACGAATCTTTCAAACTTCATAAAACACCCCTGAGTTGCAATGTTATTAACTGTTAACCTATCTATTTTTTATTGTATAAATATACACTAAATTAAGATACAATAACATTATTTTCTTCTATTTGATAATTATTAAATTCACGTATCTTTCAAACTTCATAAAACACACCTGAGTTGCAATGTTATTAACTGTTAACCTATCTATTTTTTATTGTATAAATATACACTAAATTAAGATACAATAACATTATTTTCCCCTATTTGTATTTATTTTGCTATATTCATATCACATTACCTACTGTGCATGTATTTCTTTAATATATAATCCTTCTGATTATTAGCTGAAAAGATTCGAGTTGGACGAGATTACCAGGCTGTCTGTCCAGAGATGATAAAGCTTGAAGACCGGAAACCTGAATTGATGGCCGATCGTGCCTTATTAGTTTGGTCTCCAACTGATGATATACCAGATCAAAAATGTTAGTATTCTTAGACATCTAAATTCACATGGTTTGGGAAATTAGATATAAAATATATTTAATAACCTTCAAAATTATAAGAATAAGCACTATACATTTTATAATATATTGTATATATTAATGTATATCTGCTATATATTGCAAACGTGACAAGGACATGAAGTAATATTTATTATCATTAATTAGGGCTTGCTTATGAATAAATATTACTGCAATTATATATTAAAACATAAATTAAATAATACCACTTACATTCATATAAAAGATACCTTCTCATATATTTAAGTAATTAGGGCTTTGAAAAATGAATTTTTTTAATTTTTCACTCACATTGTTAGTATTAATAATAACACATAAAACTTAGTATATTTAACATTTGCAATCCATATTTTTTTAAAATAATTTGTGTTATACAAAATACAAAATCTTATACAAAATACAAAATCATGTTCTAAAGTGCAAAAGATGATTGGTCATATAAAAATATCAGATTGTATGTATTAAAGATGTACAGTTGCATTAGATCAATCCCAAAGACCTAAATATTAAGTTGTGATTTAATTTGTGCCATCTAATGCCATAACAATGCCAATTGCCTTATAAGAATTCCATAAACTTTATTTTATATAAGCTTGTATAATATAATAACTGTTCTATGTTTTAGTGGAGGAATACATAAATGTAGCTAAAGACAAATGCGGTTATAACGGCGAGCAAGCTTTGGGCATGTTGTTTTGGCATAAGCATGATCTTGACCGGGCTGTTCAGGACTTAGCCAATTTTACACCTTTTCCTGATGAATGGACTCCAGAAGACCGTGTTTTATTTGAACAAGCATTTCAATTCCATGGGAAAAGCTTCCATCGTATAAGGCAAATGGTAAGCTTGTAAATAAATTATTTATAAATGATTATTTGGATAATAGAATTATTTTTGTAGAAAAAAAATTACTTGTGTATCTCACACATATGTTAGATTGGTATGAAGTCAATAATCAAAATAACCCTATAAAATAGCCTTATATTAATTCCAACTTGCAGACTAATGTAGAACTTCTGTTTTATTATCTTCAAGCTTAAACTTTAATACCATTATCAATGACAAAAATAAAGTAAGTTTATTTTAGATTTATTTAGAACTTGATTCTACATGATATTTATAAAATACAGTCTAACTAACCTAAAATGTGAGTTATAATTCTGGAAGCCAAATGTCTGTTTTGTTTAATATTTTATTAAGTTTTTTCTAAGCAAACGTTTTTATAACTGAGATAGTGCTTATGTTCTACAAATGAGAAAGTCTTCAGATATTAAGGATTATTTTTATCATATTTTCAAAATGATTTTCAAAGAATTTATTGTAATTTATGGTTCGAGTGGAATTTATGTGTAAAATGTTCTATTTTTTATTCATGCAATTTGCTTTACTAGAACTTAACCTATGATTTATTCCAAGGCATTTTGCTTCCTTAATTCAGATTATTTTATATCTATCTGCTACTATCATCGGCAAACTGTATTAAATTACAATCATAAAAGTATATGAATAGTCTTCTTAAAATAATACTTAGGGCAATTTCATTGATTAGCAGTAATGATGTTTTATGAAAGTCTTACAAATTTGATTGGCACCTTTGTAGTTACCTGACAAATCAATAGCATCTCTGGTGAAATATTATTATGGGTGGAAAAAGTCCAGATCAAGAACGAGTCTAATAGATCGGCAGGCTAAACGTTTGCATTCGGAAAACATGCAAAATTCAAACTCCAACAACGACCGTGATGATAACAATGATGATAATAATGGTGGAGAAAATGATGACTCTGATTCTGAAGACAAGGTAGGATTTAAAATATCTGTTTTCATATATTATTATATGCACATATGTTTTTGAATATGTATATATTAATACATAGTTATATTGTATTAATATATAGTATGAACTCAAAATTACTGAATTAATTCTTTCTCACTAGTAGTCATTGACTAATGAAGTAAAGTTTCATATAAGCAAATGTTCATATATATTATATATATATATATATATATATATATATATATATATATATATATATCTGTGTGTAGATGTGTATATAACTGTATGGCTATGTAAATATTCCTGAGTGTATGATATATGATTGTGTATATGTTCATTAACATACCGGCTATTTCTTGTGTATGGAAAATATCGATGTTTATGAATGTGTTAAACATTTTGTATAAACATAAATCAACACAATGGGAGCTCTAATAATAACTAGAACGATACTTTAAATGTAATGTCTCACAATACATAGAAATATTAATAGAAGAAACAGGAAACATGACAGCAATAAACAAGATGTAAAAATATGTATACAAGGATAGTATTATTGTGTAAAAATAATATGTAGTTTCTAATAACAAATATGTTTTTATAAAATTACCAAAACTCCTTTATTAAATTTGGTGTTTGGTAAACAGAAATGGCCAACACATCGGGGCATTCGTCGAACTAGCAACACAGCTAATCATGACGATAACAGCTCAACAAATTTACAGGTCTGTTTATATGTATGGACATGTACAGCCTGGAAAGCAATTTTGTTATATTTCAAATACTACGGAAAATAATATAGATAAAAAAAATAGATATGGTGCTTTTTTCATGCATGTACTATACTCTGCACTTATAAAAAGAATTCTTAACTTTTATGAAGATGGAAAATATCAAGTTTCATGAAAATATCAGCAAACAATGTTTGAAAATTTAAATGAAAACTAGCTCATAGCAAAACTGCATTGATTTAGTAAAAAATACAAAAATATTATTCCCAAATTTTTATACAATATATTAAATTATGTATTTCATCAATATTTATTCTCTTCTTGTTGGTGTTACGTTTAGCATTATATTTAAAAAAATCGCCATTCGTTTTTATTATAAGGCAGAAACTACAAACTGAACTTTTGTCTTATTATAAGAAAAATTTCAGATTTCTTTAAGATGTAGCAAATTTGCTTTCTAGATTTTCATACATCAGAATGATAAATTTACTTGATTGTCAGTATTATCTGAATTAGTCAAAAGCACATTTTTATTTGGCTTTTTAGAGTTTTATTTTAATCACTAATTATTCATTTGCGATATAAAGGAAGGTAACAAATGAGTTTAATAACGGTTTGTACATATAGTCTTGTTTAAATTTTACTCATAATCATTTTATTTATCACATGGATCACAAAATTCATTGGTAATATGTTGAAAAATACATTTTTGCAACGTTAAATATTGAATAATTAGTAGAATATTTTTAATAACATAAGTAACAATAATGAGACAAATTTGTTGATATATTAAATTTGTTTTCTATTTAATATTCAGCACTGCCTTTTTTGCTGTTTTATTTTGATCACTGTCCATAAAGTGATTATTCTAGTGTTAAATAAAAATGAAATGTTTCAAAATATTTTTTTACTCTAGTGGAAGGCTATAATATTAACTTTATTTATTTATATATGTATACATATATACATCATTCAATAAGCCCATAGGAATATTTTACTTTGGATATTGAAATTTGGAATAATTTGTTGAAATGCGGAAATTAGTATTTCTATAATCTGCAATATATAACATATATTATTAATTAAAAATTATGTTATTGAAGTTTACAATACAACTACTAATTATTCAACCCTAAAATTCAATATCCAAATATAAATAATCCTATGAATTTATCTTTATTTAATGATGTGCTATATATCAGTTATATATTAGTAAAACAGAAAGTAATTTTCTAGACAAATTGTAGTACAAATTTGTAGCATGTGTATTTCTTTAAGTTTTAACATATCTTCAATTTTTTTTACTCGCACTGTTTATAACATATAAGTAACTAGCATATATATAAGCATAGGTTATATCAAACCAACATGATTGTTTTGCATGCTCTTAAAAAATGTTATATAGTTTGGAAGATAAATTTATCAAGATTATAAGAATTTGTTTTTTCAAATCTATATTCAATTATCTGTGTGTACCATGTATATGTATATAATACTCAATATTGCTAGCCATTACAATTATTATTGAAAATGAAATAACGCCCGAGCGTTAGTTCAACATTTGAAATTATGTGCGAGTATATGAACAAGATGAATCAATTATTCATTTTTCTTGTTGATGAAATGATTTTTTAAGTAACTTAAAGCTTGGAACAATGTCGCTCATCACTGTGCGTTTTTTTTTTATAAATAATGAAGCAATCATATAGTAATCTATCTGATCTCGGCTTCTGAAGTAGTTTTTGCAAATTAAAGGAATTATAATTGAGAAACTAAGATTACAAAACTTTCGAAATTGTTACAGAAAAAAATTATTAAAGAATCTATGAAAGTTCTTGGGATTTTCAGTTATGATTGTAACTTTTTTGGATTAATAATTTTTCTGTATAATAAATTTATTTAAGAAATCATGAACATTCTTGAAACTTGTTGATAGATTTTAATGAGCTGGCTACAATTTTTTGGTTTGCAACTTAATCTTAAACGAATAATCATTGTTATTATTTATATTTATTTTTTCATACATATGCAGAATATATTTAATAAATTAAAAGTGAAGATAGTAAGACAAAATTATTACCATTTTTTATGATTTTAAGTGATAGCTTCAAATTTGCACTGTTTTTTTATGTTTATATATTTGATTTTAGTATCACTTAAATTTTGTTACTATTCTCAATAACTGTCAGGTTTTTGTATATTTAGTAAATAATCAAATCAGTGATGATTGGCTTTGAATCAAAGTAAAAAATGTTAATCTTAGTCTTTAAATGCAAAGACTACACTTTGCTTGATGATTATGTTGTGCAGCTGATTATTATTTACTGCTGTGCAGAAACATAGTGTTCAAAAATTTATGATTCGATTTACAAGTATGAAAATAATTTAATGTGCTATATATGTTACCAATGTCTCAAAATTTGATGTTCTCACTTACACGAAAGTTTTTAAAGCATGTGAACATTATAATTTGGCTTCTTATATTATCCTCACGCGAAAGCTAGCAATGTTTTACGGAGTATTATATATATATTATGTGTACCCACAGGCAAACAATCATCAAGAGACAACATCGTCAAGCAGTTCATTACAACAAAATGATGATGAAACAAGTGGGTCAGGATCAAATGGTTATAGTGGAAATTACAATTCTTCTAAATGTACTGGATGTGGAGTATCATGTGTCCATTTACATGTTGCTAATGTTGGAACAACAATCGCCAAGTTGTGTGCTAGTTGCCATCATTACTGGAGGTACAAAATGACCTGATCTGATAAAAATTAATATTTTAAAACTAATAAAATAAGAGTTTATGTAGTTAGATACGTTAAAAGAATAATTAGGATTCAGACTTTTTAAAAATCCAGTTGTCAACATTATTATTTATCAAATGGATGTTCCTGCACAGAATGATTTGTTTGAAAACTGGAATATTATATCACTCGTGGTATTTATATTTGTTTTGTTTTTTTATTTTCGTATTTCAAAACCATTCACATGTTTTCAAATATATACAATATGTAAATTATAATCTAAAATTAATTTTTTAACTTAGTATGCATATACAACGCGACTTGTTGGCAAGAAATTAATACAAATCATTTTGTGCGCAATTAGTAAAAAATATTTGAAAACAAAATATCAATTTGTTTGATATAATAATTTTTTATTTATAATCTCTGTATAATTATATGTTATGGAGTATCCTAATAGATTTATGAATATTTAATCAGTATGAAACTTCTAATTAATCATTTTTTAAAGTGACTAAGGGCCATAGAACTTGAGTTAGTTCAGTCTATCATTCTTGGTGTATAGCAACTTGTTTTGTCCTTAAATAAGTGTTTGCATTGCGCAACTAAATATAAATTGAATTTTAACTTAATTTATATTCTAAAACGTATTTAATTTACCGAACTAGAAGTTTGTTTTCATAAAAAAATCGGATTTGCTAATTTTGTTTTCTCGACGTTTCAAGTCATTCTGAATCGAATAAGACTCGAAATAAGATTCTGAATCGAAATTTGGAAAAAGTATGTGTGTGTGAACAGATTTTTTGCCGTAAATCGACGTTTTCTCAAAAACTACTGGACCGATTTCAGAAATTTAAAAGCCATTTGATGTATCTCGATGAGGATTATCGTTTCTCAGTTTTGTGCGACGTTCTGCCGAGCCGTTTTTTCGTAATTTGGAAAAAACGTGTCAAACCGAATCGGTTTTAAAAAATCAAAAACTGTTCGAAAGATATTAGTTGGGAATGATATTTATTAGTTCTAGGTGAAAATCTACCGAGCTGTTTTCTTGTAATTAACTATTGAAAAAATTTTAAGGCAATTTTTATGTAACTTTTTTTGGCGATATATATCATGGTCTTATAGAACTTACTGAAATGTCAAGGCCTTACAACAAGTAGTTTAATTTTAAAAATTCATCAAAGTTTGATAAGATGGATGTTTTTTTTTTTGAGGTTTGTTAAAATTAAAATTTGACGATTTACTTGGTATAAGGATAGAGTGTTCGTTCGTTTTCAATTATGTTTAATAAATCCACTCGGAATACTTACGAAATCACTCATAAATTCATTTATTTATAATTGATTACGTCGATTATTTACACATATCGGGAAGTGCATGTAACTTGCCTCAAGGCAAAATACCAATACCAACTAGTTAGTTTATAATTCACGAAAATGGAGAAGAAACTTCATTGAAAATTTCGCTGAAAGGAAGTTAAGTTTCCAGTTCTGATTTTTTCAGAAAAATTTCTTAAAATGAGCTTTAAACAGTCGCGCAATGGCCAAAAAATTTGAGTCATCACATTTGAAGAACAATATTGTTCCCTATCTTTCGTATTTTGACTTTTTTGTGAATTATAGATATAATATTCAACTGATTATTATGGATACTATCGGATACTTCTGACATAGTAAATCTTAAAAAAAATCATGTATAGTATATAAGTTTATAATAAATTAGGCGCACCGGTAAAATCCGGCCAACTACTGCTTCAACTGGAGGTTCCGTTAAGAAACAGAATAATAAAAAGCACTTGCCGCGCGGCATGCGTTTAGACCACGACGATTTGCTGCGTTTGGCCCGAGAACAATTATTTTGTAGCAACACAAATGGCACAAATGAAAGTAATAAAAATGGAACGAATGAAAATAGTACCAAAAATGGTCTCAAGGAAAATGATGCTGTCAAAAACGCTGAAACGCTGCTGCTTGCTCCATTGGATAGAGAAATTGTTTCATTGAAGATACAAGTATTTGCATTTTAATCATTATTTTTAAATACTATAATATAGAGATTTTTTTTATCGTGGGTACATCATTGTTGTCCAATGCTTGTGTACCTGATTCTTATGATGTGTATTGCAAAACAATACATTCAATTAGAATAAGATCTTACGATTTTAATAACTGCCAGATTACTTTATGAATGCATAAAATTTGATTTATAGCTTTCTGTTCTTTTTTTTTAATTTAGAAATACATCATATTGGAAGGCATTGATGTACATTATTGTAAAAAATCTTCAGATTTTATATATCTTAATATAGTAATATTGAATTTTTAGAAATAGAAAGCTCCCATTGATATGATTCCATACAATTTTTTGTATGTAATTTGAAACTTATTTTCATTTTCAATTTTGGATTATTGGTGGAATTATTTGAATCATTTAGATATTAGTTTTCTTTGAACTAAAATATGGGTAACACTATTAGAATGAATTTCCTGGTTGGTTTATATATATATATATATATATATATATATATATATATATATATATATATATATATATATATGAGTAAGTTCTTCAAGGGCATACATCAAATAAAAGGCAAAGATTTAGAAGTTAATCTTTAATTTTTCCAAACGTTTCGACATAGTATTTTATGTCATCATCATGATGACATAAAATACTATGTCGAAACGTTTGGAAAAATTAAAGATTAACTTCTAAATCTTTGCCTTTTATTTGATGTATGCCCTTGAAGAACTTACTCATATTTCTCAACATCAAATTAACTACTTTAACATATATATATATATATATATATATACATATGTTGATAGTTTTCTTGATATTGGTACATATCGAAATATATTGAATATATTTATATATTGAAATATTTTGCAGCCCAATAATCAAATTAAAAGATTAAAAAGACAAATTCTTTATTAATTAAACATTTCGACACTTAATGTTTGTCATTATTCAGTAATATAAAAAACATTACTTTCTATACGTCGTTGAATGAACATGCTTCAAATTGGGGCATTATGTTGCTCATTTAATTTTTCCTTTTCATTAATGATCTATTAATTGTTTTTCTTTAGCACAATTTTGATGTTTTTAATAAATTTCATGTTTTTGTATTTTTCCTGGTTTGGTATGAATATAATTTTCTTCCCTATTTATAATTTCTATCAAATGTTGTGATTATGTAATGTTTTTTATTATACTGAATGATGACACATGTTAAGTTTAACTAATAAAGAATTTGAATATATATATATATATATATATATATATATATATATATATATATATTGGTATATTTTTTATGTAGCCTCAAATATATAGACTACTTGACTGCCTACAGAAGTGTTTTAGTTTAAATAGTGTATGATGAAATTTGAGTCTTAAATGAATATTTAACATAATATATCAATAAAAACAAAATACTTCTTAAGCAGACAACCATTCAAATAACAGAAATAGAAAAAAAAACTTATTATTTTGCTAAAAAAATATATATTTAACCCATTTCCATACATTTTTAATCCCAATTTGATTCTTGTTCAGTGAATAAATTATAAACTCAAAATAATCAATAAATATATAATAAATAAATAATGCTGAAAAATTACATCAACCAAAAATCATTTTATATATAAAGCTAACTATTGAAATGAAATTAAATAAAATATAGAAAACTTACTGCACAAATTTTTTAAACATTGAAACAGAGTCAAATTGCTAATTGGAAAAACATGATAATCCATCAAAAAGATTTTTTAGGAACTTAATTTAATTTTCATTCTATTTCTATTATCTCATGAATTATTAGCCTGTTTAGGAAGTATTTTATTTTTATCAACATATCCACCAACATCTGAGGAAAATTATTAAATAAATTATATGATTTTTTTATTTTATACTTATAACACTACTTACACTTCTGTACTTATTTACTTACATTACAAACATACTTTTTCAAAATCTCAAACTTTTACCTTGTGTTAGTTTATTAATATATTTTCATATTTTATTTAGGTTCAAGCAAATAAACAAGCTATAGGCACTCTCAAACGTAAGATTAATTCAGATACAAACTCATCAACTACGACAAGCACTTCTTCAACATCTATCAATGCAAGTGGTGGTAATGGAACTTCGGCTAATCAACTTATTGAAGAAATAAGACAATGTGGTGATGCAACACATCCGAGTGTTAAAATTACGACAAAATGGTCGAATGAAGAACTGCTATTGGCTGTTCAAGGTGTGAGAAAATATGGAAAAGATTTTCAGGTAAGATGATAATGTATCATTGATTTATATCTTGAAAGGGCTGAGCTCTGTCGCAATTACCTAAGAAAAGTGAGTATGAAACATTAACTTGTTAAAGGCTTGTGAAATTTGTCTGATGCATTATACTTCTGTCTTCATTTTACTTAACAAACTTGACAGAATTTATAGTTTTATATTGCTGCTTGGTTATAGCTAGAAATTTTGCTGAAGGCAAAAATAACATCTAATTAAAGTGTCTGCAGATTTTAATCAACTTCCATGCTTTTTGAAATCTTGTAATGTTTTGTAATATTCACTATAACAAGAAATGCAATACAAAATATTAATCAAAAAGAAAATATGTTCTTGCTTATTAAAATTTTTGTTCTGGATTAGCTAAATAAATATTTAAATTTTATGATTTAAACTATATTTTTTTAAGTTTTCTCATTATTGAAAAGATTAATGGATCACAGATTTAATATCTATCCATGATTTTTTAAATAAAGTTTTGGCCTTTTTATTTTTTCAAAGATATCTATCCACTGGTTTTTAAACATAGTTTTAGCCAACAGGCCAAGTTGAGTTCTAAATCTAATAAAAGCTTTACTCAAGTTCTGAAAAAAGAGTGCATGTAAGTTTCACACGCGATTGAAGTAAAACTTATTTGCTACTGTTCAAGATGGCATTTAAGTGAAAATAAATACATCATATAACAATTTTGAATAATAATTAGTAATATGGTAACACATTTCTTAGTGTCAACCATTATACACATTTATATAATGATGAATTATAAATTATATATTTATAATACCATTAAAAATATGTATAATATTTAAAAATGATAATGTATTTAAAGTCATACTTCAAATATGACATGATCGGTTTGTCATTGTAATTAACATATAGAAATGAAATTTTATTAGAGAAATGAAGTAATTGCTGATTAATAAATTCTATAATATTCGTTCACACAGTGGATTATGTTAAACAACCCATAAACAAATATTGTTTTTGCAACTTCACTCATCATGTAATTGTGTTTGAAGAACTTCATGTAATTAAAATTAACATACATTCATTGACAGCTGATATTTTCTTTTTCTTTTTAATCAAGATTTGTAATGCGATGTAACTTTAAAATGTTTATTTACGTATGCTGATTTCCTTGTTGATATCGGTACGCATATAACGTTGATGCCGGTACGCATACAACGACAGATCTCTATTGTCATACAAGACGACTAATCACAATCGACCCATATTGAAATGATTTCACCGAGTGCAAATTTGTACGGATTTACACCCTAGTCGCGTCTAAAGGAGTTTTACTTTAATTAAATTCATATTTCTCATATATTATCTGCTGGCTGTATCAAATAATATCTAATCATAAAGTTTTCATTTTCTTATATGTTATTAACAATATTTGTTCCTTGTTGTTTTTTAGGGAAACCTTAATACTTGTCCATAATTTTAATGTTGATGAACTTAACATTTTATTATTAAAAATATTTCTGACTTGTTTATTATACTTTTACAGGCAATTGCTGAAGCAATTGGTTCTAAAACAGAGGCCCATGTCCGCGCATTCTTTATTAACTATAGACGAAGATACAATTTGGACAGTGTTTTACGAGACTATGAGCAAGAAAAAAATCAGACTCAACAGGTATGGATGTTACAGAGTGTGCTAACATGAAAAAATGTATAAATTGTAATTTTAATTGGATGATTGTTTGGGTGTTAAAATATACAGTTTATTTTTTTTATTTATATATTTTGCTAAAAATTAATATCCTTTATATCTTTCTCTAGTTTATTTTACTTTTATAATGTCAAACATTCACATTTTTCTTTCAATTTAATATTGAATTTGTTACTATATTTTTTCAGTCTTACATATTAGAGTTTCCTTCAAGTTAACATCAACTATATTTTTGGTTGACTATTATTTGAATTTTAATTTTGATAGAGATTTTTAAATATGGAAGCATTTTCACTTTATAAGATGGGTTATGGTAGCAATTAGAAGTGATCAAAGATATATATTATTAACACTTTCGTTTTGTTTTGGATAATTACCCAGATTAACATAAGCTCTTTCTAATTATACATATTCATTTGAAATTAATATAAAACCAGGGAATTTGAAGTTATAACAAAAGTTTATTTAGAAAGATATATGCATTATAAAATTAACATTATTATTATATGGTCTTTCTAATTTTTCTTAGTTAAAATGTTGAGAATTATTGATATTACAATATATAAATCAATTTAAAAAAGGGATGAACTGTTCTTCGAGCAACAGACTGTAGTATCTTTTGAAAGATATTTATTATATATAATCTATATAGAGCCAAGAGTGATTTCTTAAAGTACTTCAGTCCAAATTTGGATATATATATATATATATATATATATATATATATATATATATAATTTAGGGTGGTTCTTAATTTGAATTTTCTTGCTCCCAGGGGCTCAAATGCTTCCAAATTGATGAAAAACAATTCTAACTATTATTAACTTCAAGCATGCAACCAAAGTTTCTTGGTTTTTCTTCCTAAGTAAATACTTATTCCTTGAAATATATCAATTTTTTTATTTATGATCAAAAATTTAATTTTATTATAAATTTTTTTAATTATGATCAAAATAAGCAAATACAATGTTATTCTCAAAATTTTGATTTACTTGTTGCTAACTAAGTTATAAAACAAATGGAATTTTACCCATGTTATTTTCATAGAAACTTTGATTGAATTGTGCACTATCTAAAAGACAATATTAAGAGCTAAAACCATATTAAAAACCACCCTAATATATATATATATATATATATATATATATATATATATATATATATATATTTAGGGTGGTCCTTAAAATGGTCATTTTCGAATTTCCTTGCTCCCAGGGGCTCAAATGGTTCCAAATAGATAAAAAACAATTCTCTGAAAGTGTTAGCTCTTAATATTGACGTTTAGATAGAGCGCAATTCAATCAAAGTTTGTATGGGAAGAGCATGGAAAAAATTTTGAAAATTTAAAAAAATGTTTTAGGTATAACTTGGCGACAAATGAATGAGTTTTATTCATTCATTTGTTCGCTAAATTACATCTAAATAACATTTTTAAAATTTTTGAAAATTTTCTCATGCTATTTCGATACAAAACTTTGATTGAATTGCGCTCTATCTAAACAATAATATTAAGAGCTAAATCTTACAGAGAATTGTTTTTTATCTATTTGGAACCATTTGAGCCCCTGGGAGCAAGGAAATTCGAAAATGACCATTTTAAGGACCACCCTAATATATATATATGTATATATATCCAAATATGGACTGAAGTACTTTAAAAAATCACTCTTAACTTCTCTAAATAGTCAACACTTTATCCTAATTGTTATTATCTACAAAAAAACGAAAGTTTAAATGATTAGACTTAGCTTTGTGTAAATATTTTATTTATTTACTTAGATTTTTTTTAGATTTATGGGTAAAGTTCTTTACAATTTCAAATTGAATTTACAACTGAAATTACAACAATTATTCAAAAATAGAAAAGAAAATCAAAGTTCAAATTTAATAAAGAAGATGCCTTGATATTATGTATTCATTTTGAACATCTTCAAGTGATCTCAATTAATTCAGATAGTTTCTTTAGAAATTTAACACTTTTTTGAAAAATGAAGTAGTATCAAATGCATGGAAAATATTGTATAACAAAGATACTACAGGCAAAAATATCTATATTTATAAAACGTGACAAGAAATTAGTAAAAAAAATATTTAAGTTACGGGTGGAATAGTAGTACAGTACTACTTGAAGTCTAAAAGCAATTGATTTTTAGTAATTTAATCGAAACGTTGTAAAATTTATAATTACTTACTTGACATATTTGAAAGCATAATAAATTAAAAATTTTCGATACCAAGTCCATTAAATAAATAAAATTATTGTTTCTTGTCTTCATTATATAAAAAATCATCTGAATACTAAAGCTATTGAGTCGAAACAAATAAATTAACTAAAGAAACTACTTCAAAAAGATAAAATAAAGATGAAAGCTATTGATTTTTAGTAATTCAATTGAAATGCTTGGTATTTTTGAAAGCGTAATAAATTAAAAAAATTATATCACGTCTATCTACAAAATAAAATAATAAATAATAAATTTATAGTTCTTTGTCTTCAATTACTTCAAAAAGTCTGGTTTGATGATGGGCAACAGTTTCTTGCATATGATGTGTTAATATTTAAACTTTCTGGTTTTCAATTCTTTTTTCAGGGTTATTTAAATCTTAATTTGTGAGATAATGTTAAATTTTTGTTCTAATCTTTAGATGGACATAGATAACAATGAAACAGGAACTTTTTCCGAAAGTAATTCCCAAGCGCCGATGGAAGCATCAAAATAATATCATTATAGAAAATTTTAATATAGATATATAATTTTATATGCATGTGTTGTGACACATGCGCCCCCTTAGCTATAAGTTCGAATGTGTGAATAGTAAACTTTATTATGAATAAGATATAAATTAGTTAAACATAGATTATTATAAATAATAAATTGATTTGATAAGCACATCATCTTATTGTGAATATGAGTGTGTATGATTTTACATGCTTAGAATTCAATTGTTTTAAAATCAAATACGAATTGTTAAACTTTCATTTTTGTCTTTTAACATTATATAAATACATCATCACAATCAAGTTTTTAATGAAACTTGTGTCGGTACTAAGAGCATGAATATTCTTTTAAGTAAGTGATATAATTATGATTAATTGTGATTTAGAATTTTGACTTTATTTCAACATCTGCTTACATAAACAACAATTTGTTTATTTGCTCTTAGAAATTGCAGGGTCCATAACAATTGGAAAAGAATATACAAATCAAAAATGTTGATAAACTGAAAAGACAAAAAGAATTTTTAATAATTTATCGAATTTAGGCTTGTTTGTCACTGGGTGCATGTTTGTATAATTTAGTATGAATGAAAGTTTAGAAATACCTTATTTTATCATGTATAGAGAGAAGAGACTAGGTGAGAAAGTATCATATAATAACGCCTTAATGCGTTCAAGAAAATTAAATTATTTTATCATTTAAACATTATCTAATTTTAAGTTTTATATAAAGATTTTAAGTTGTTAGATATTTTCAACAAAAGCTGCCTGAATTCATCACCAATCTAATTTATTTAATAATATAATACAGATCTAATATTTACTTGTTGGTGTGTAATGGAAGGAGAAGGAAACCCTTTCATAAAATTTTTTAGAAATACCTTATTTTATCATGTATAGAGAGAAGAGACTAGGTGAGAAAGTATCAATATAATAACGCCTTAATGCGTTCAAGAAAATTAAATTATTTTTATCATTTAAACATTATCTAATTTTAAGTTTTATATAAAGATTTTAAGTTGTTAGATATTTTTCAACAAAAGCTGCCTGAATTCATCACCAATCTAATTTATTTAATAATATAATACAGATCTAATATTTACTTGTTGGTGTGTAATGGAAGGAGAAGGAAACCCTTTCATAAAATTTATATACCAGTGTGTAATCTAGAAAAAAAGATCTCGTAGAAAAATATATATTAAATCGTTATATTATTTGGTGTAATACGTTTGTTTTTCCTTGCTTACTTATTTGATTTAAACATAACTTACTTTTATTTAGAGTTGGCAGTAGTTAATTTATACAATTAAAATGATACAAAATATATTTGTATTTTTAGATAATATACTTTTTAGGTTTATTGCTATATATCTAATTTTATTTAATGTTTTATTTTATAATTGTAAATACTTTGCTATCTTAGATAAATACAGTGAATAGTATATTTTAAATCAACCTTACAAATTACAAGAACTTTGATTTTATTAATGCTTTACAAGCAAATTATTTTCAATTGTTTGTAAATATTCAAATTGAATAAAAGGCTTTGCCAAATTTTGTAAATTTGTCAAAGCATAATGAAATGATACTAAATTATATTTATTACTATCAATTTAGACTTAATACAAATTTAAACAAATTTTTTAGAATGTGTTATTTATTGCTTCAGAAATGATTGCAGACTATTTCGTTGTTGCAGAATATGATAAGAAACGCATACATATTATGTTCAAAACTGCCTAAATATATTTTATACATACACATATACATATAGTATTTATGTATATTATTATATACACATATATTATATTTAAAATTGTATATAATTATTCATGTATTATATATATATATATATATATATATATATACATAATGTAAATGTTTGCGCTGCATTATAATTGTAGTTCGTATGTATATATAAAATAATGATTAGGTTTTTTTTATTTTAACTATAAAATTCATTTCTATTATTGACATTTTTTGTTAGGTAAATACCATAATTATTAAGTATATCACAATTAAGTATACCGTTTAGCATAAACAAGTAATATATATTTTATATATACTTGCATGTATGTCTACATACTGTTACATACGTGCAATTAATTAAAACATATGTGGCTGCTTTTTATTTCATTATACATCATTGTTGAAATCAGAAAATGTGACTCTATTAGTCCTACAAACTGCTCTGGTTTTATTACATTGTAGATTTTTATGCATCTGTATGTATAAGATTTATATAACTTTCATATGTGATTTTTCATCTTAATATTTCATGTGCATGTTGGTGTCTTATTGATAAAACATGTTTTATGAATTAGTTTTTGTATGTTTATTTTTGTGAGTTGAAAAAAAACTATGATGAAAAATAAATTGAAAATGCTTATATTACATACAGATACATTTATATTAGCAATTAAAGCATCTGTATACATTTTTAACATTGTGTTGTACTTTTCAAGATCATCTTTATTTGTATGTAAATATATTGAACCACTTATTTACATGTTGTTTATGTATTTATTTATGTTTCTTGAGTATAATGTGTGAAGAGTGAAAATGTTAAGTGGAAAACATTTGAAGCTTTATAAAATATGAAATGTAAATAATTATCAAATTAATTTACTCTAATTTTGGTTAGAAAAAATCTATGCAATCTTTGGCATAACATAAGAATTTATTTTAAAATATATTAAATACTGTTTCAAATTATTATTGTTATGGTTGTGATACTTTAAAGTGATAGATCAGTTATGAATATTTATGATTTTGCAATAGGTAATTAAAAACATTTTTACAAAATATTGGTTTATTTGAAGCAATACATGAGGAATGTTAACATAAATAGAAGTGTTTAAAAATATTCAAAAACTTGATACAAGAAATTCATTTAAAATCTCACATTCTACAAAAACACTCGAGTGCCAATTCAATAAATAAAAATCATGCAAGCAACTCAAACAAGCATCTTGTAAACTTGAAATAACAGCCTAACATGACGACTGGACAAGCATTTAGTTCTCATCAACATCAGCCTCTTGCTCTTCATCAAATTCTGCCTCATCATCAGCAGTGGCTTCTTGGTATTGTTGGTATTCAGAAACCAAATCATTCATGTTGCTCTCGGCTTCAGTGAATTCCATTTCATCCATGCCTTCACCAGTGTACCAATGCAAGAAAGCCTTTCTTCGGAACATAGCAGTGAATTGTTCTGAGATACGCTTGAATAATTCTTGAATAGCAGTGGAGTTGCCAATAAATGTTGCAGACATTTTCAGACCTCTGGGTGGAATATCACAAACTGCAGTCTTGACGTTGTTTGGAATCCATTCTACAAAGTAGCTGCTGTTTTTGTTTTGAATGTTCAGCATTTGTTCATCTACTTCTTTCATTGACATGCGTCCTCTGAACACAGCTGCCACAGTCAAGTAACGACCATGTCGGGGATCACATGCAGCCATCATGTTCTTGGCATCAAACATTTGTTGTGTTAGTTCTGGTACTGTGAGGGCTCTGTATTGTTGGCTTCCCCTAGATGTGAGTGGTGCAAATCCAGGCATGAAGAAGTGCAAACGAGGAAAGGTACCATGTTCACAGCCAATTTCCTCAAATCTGCATTCAATTGTCCAGGGAATCTAAGGCAAGTAGTGACTCCAGACATTGTTAAAGAAACTAAATGATTAAGATCTCCATATGTAGGTGTGGTAAGTTTCAAAGTTCTAAAGCAGATATCGTAGAGAGCTTCGTTATCAATACAATAGGTTTCATCTGTGTTTTCAACTAATTGATGAACAGACAAAGTGGCATTGTATGGTTCAACTACAGTGTCTGAAACCTTGGGTGAAGGTACTACTGAATAAGTATTCATAATTCTGTCTGGATATTCCTCTCTGATTTTAGAAATAAGTAGAGTACCCATACCAGATCCAGTACCACCTCCCAAGGAGTGGGTCAATTGGAAACCTTGTAAGCAATCGCAGGACTCTGCTTCTTTGCGAACGACATCTAAAACGGAATCAACAAGTTCAGCCCCCTCAGTGTAATGTCCCTTAGCCCAGTTGTTGCCAGCTCCACTTTGTCCAAAGACAAAGTTATCGGGACGGAAAATTTGTCCATAAGGCCCTGAGCGTACAGAGTCCATGGTTCCTGGCTCCAAATCGACAAGAATGGCGCGGGGAACGTACTTGCCGCCGGAGGCTTCATTGTAGTAAACATTAATACGTTCTAATTGAAGATCAGAGTCTCCATGGTAGGCGCCAGTTGGGTCGATACCGTGCTCATCTGAGATGATCTCCCAGAACTAAGAAAAGATTAAATATTGTTAACATACGTCGAGTTGAAGGGAAATTGTGATGTATGGAGTATATCTTTTGTAATAACATTACCAAGCCCTAGCAAAGAAATCAAACAATTTAGGCGGCCATTTATTACATAAAATACAATTACCTTAGCTCCAATTTGGTTTCCACATTGTCCAGTTTGAATGTGCACAATTTCCCTCATGTTTGCTGTTTATTTCTCGAAACTTGCACGAATTTATTTAATGAATCAGCGAATTAAAAACTGCAGTTGACGCTGACTTCGGCTGCGCTAATTTATACAAGACCGGCTACGCCCGATGCTGCGTTCTCATTGGATGGAGCTCATGTTACCAACTGCAAAAAATATATTATTCTGTTTCAATCGTTAATTTTGAATTATAGTTATTTCTGCAAGCCAAACATTCTACATCTTTCGATTGAACACGACACGCATCTTAAAATCTCAAACGAAAATTATTATCATTAAGAAGGTATTTATTTTAAAATTAGGCTTTTTATTATATGTAATGGGATTACAGATTAGATATTTCTTTAAATTAAAATTATGTGGTGCTGTTCAAGAAATCTAAACTGAAGAAAATATATCGTTTTGATTCTGGAAGATTTATGTATAATAAATCTAATTGAAGTTAATTTATTCACGATAAAAAACAAAAATATAAATATTAAAAATTTTCTAACCAGTCAACTTGTAAATTCATATATGAAGTTTATCATTATGTACATACAGTGCGAAGTGCATATTTTGGGCTTGTTTAAGCCACTGTTTGAGAATCTTTGCAATCAATATTTCACCAAGTGTTGCCATGAATTTATAATAAATTTCTGCTTCTAAAATAGTCAAATT